GTGCGTCCAGGGCGGCGTGCGATGTGTGCATATTTATTGCTTTTGCCAACAAGCAAGGCAATAGTAAATTCAATCTAGAATCATGTTTGGTACTAAATTTAACCGGCTATTCAATGCTACTAATCAATCGAAGAATGAAAATAACATCTCGTCGCAGATTTCAATTTGCTTATTCGTTAATATTTCTCAGGTTACCCATTCGGCATTGCTGGCCTGACAACAATAGTCTTCGAGTTCGCACCAAGTTTTAATATCGATGCGGAAAATGAAATGTCTTTTCTAGATGGCTGTGCAATAAAGCATTCAATTCTACACAGTATGGCACTGTTGAAAAGGATAAATCGGCTATCACTTCACCGCAGTATTTGTTGAACAAAAGGATGTTATATAGTTTCGCGAGGGGAATGGGGCCCCGCCACGAACGATGTATGCCGTTCGATTGTTTGCTGCTAATAAACAGGGGAAAACTATCCTGGTTCTACATATGGAATCACTTCCTAGATTATGTTCTACGGGGTATCAAATGATATTAGTTATTCGAAGAACAAAAATGATATACCGTTGAAGATTTTATTTTCCCTACATACCTATCAGAATTCGAACGCTCATAGAGCATTACTTGACAGACCTGCAAATACAAAGCCTGGCCAACAAAGCACCATGAATCTCCAAATAAAGACAAAAAGAAAATGAAGCCTGCGACCAGATACCATTCTCATTCTTGTAATAATTAGCATCATTGAATAGCTAGCAAAATTTATTCCAGGACACAATTCTACATACCAATTATTGTTATGCTTGTTGGCAAGAAACATCAGTCGGCATATATTCGCACGCGGGACCCGCCAGGCTCCCGTCACGAAAATATGCGACATCTTATTGTTTCACAGAAGTGCGGAGGAGTTCCATCATATTTTTCCTTTTTAATAACATTATACTGCGTAGAAATTAGTGCTTTATTGACCAGCTGTCTAGAATCGACATTTTATTTTGCACGTCAATAAGAAAACTTGATACTGAAACTCAAAGTTTATTGTTGTCAGGCCCAGCAATGCCGAATGAGCCGCGAACTATGAACAAGAAAGTTGAAGGCTGCAACAAAACAGCGTTCTTGTTCTTCGAATAATAAATAGCATTAGATAGTTCAACAAATTTAGTATCATGCATGATTCTAGATTCAATTTATCGTTCCCTTTCTTCTTGGCAAAAGCAACAAATCTGCACACAGTACACGCCGCTCTGAAAGGCTCCCATTCATTGCGTTAATATGCAATGACGGCCCTTCTGTTCCACAAAACGTGCGATTAAACTATGTGGGATTATCCCTTATTTTTAGTGTCATTTTGTGCAGAATTGAACGCTTCATCAACAGCTTGTCAAAAATCGACATTTTATCGTGCATGTCGATAACAAAATTAACCCTCGCCGGACCTATTGGTTTTCTACATACGCGCCGGCCGAGGGGGGGGGGGGGCGGGTACGACCCCCCCCTCGCCGTTTCGCCCCTGGTGGAGCTAGCGCGTCGCGGAAAAAACGAGCGTGTGCGCCGTTACGAGACGCAGAGATTGGTACCCGATTTTAAGGTCCTAGGTCAACCGGTGACCTCTGAGGTCAGGTCAAGTGCCCCAAGGTACGGTTCAGTTTTTGGTGAATAACTTCGCAAAAAACGGCCGCAGAGCGCCGATTTTGGCAGCATCGTGTTCGTCTCGCTCAGGCGCGTCGAATGATATACTTTTTGTCCGGGTCAGGTCAACTTGGGGTGTTGACCTCAGGTCAAGGTCAGGTCAGCACCCCCAGGTCACGAAGTTGGTCGAAAGAGGTCATGTCGCATATCATTCGATTCGGCAGGTCTTCCTGAGTCCATTGGTGGCTTTTCCGACTCGCTAGCTCAATTTGATCAAGAGTTATTGACGAAAAACTAATATGACCTTGATGACGTCATAAATGACGTCACGCAAGGTCAACATTGCAAAAGTGACGCATCTAACCTTGCAAGGAGTGCATAAAATCACGATTCTGTGTGCTTGAGATAGTTGGAGATCGTTCCCGGCGCCAGAATAGCAGTTTTCATTTTTCCCCATTGACTTATAATGGTGAGGTCACGAAAATGACCTGACCTCATATGACCTTTAGGAAAAATCCGAGATATACAAGTTGTGGGACTCATAATGGATACTAGATCCTGCAAGTTTCATTTCCCTGTGACATCTCCTCTGGCAGTGAGGGCGTTGCGAAGTTGCGACATCTGAAGACCGTGCAGAGGTTCACTTATGACGTCATAGGTCAGTGACCTGACCTGACCCAAAAATGCGGTTGGTGTCAAAAGATGCGGCTTGGATCAAAGGTCAGGTATGCCAAGTTTCAGCTCTCTATCGCCAGCGTGTTCGGAGCTATCGCGAAAAAACCCTATGGGGGGGGGGCGGCACCCGCCCCCCCCCCTCGGCCGGCGAGGGTTAATATAAACGTAGATCTGGCTAGCGATGCTAATCGACCTCCAAGTAAAGATAGTGGGGAAAATGAAATCTGCGACGAGGTATCCTCAATCCTCATTCTTCGAATAATTATTATCATTGAATAGCCCGTAAAATCTTTTCCCGGATGTGATTTTAAAACCAATATATTCTTCCGTTGGTTGTTGGCAAAAAACAATCTATCATGGGGTTCACGTCGTTATGCGTTCACGGCCACGCCCCGCTCTCATCGGGGAAATATGCAGCATGACTTTGTTCCACAATTAGCGCCGTGAAGTGATCATAGCAGATTTTCCCTATTAATAGCGCCATACTGTGAAGAATTGAACACTAGGTATCGGACACCTTTCTTGATCTAGAATCGTTCGTTGCATTGTGCGTGTCAACATGAAACTTGACATAGGTAACTCGAAGTTTATTGTTATCAGGCCCAGCAATGCAGAATGAGCCGTGAACACTGAGCTATGAACGAGTAAGGAAATTGAAATCTGTGACGAGATGTTATTTTGATGTTTCGAATACCTAATAAGTAAGTGCCAGCGCATGGCCCGTTAAATTTAGTACCGGACACGATTCCAGATTCAAATAAATATTGCTCTGCTTCTTGGCAAAAGCAATAAGTCTGCACACATCATAGGCCACAGTGTACGCTCCCATTGCTTAACCCGCGCCCTGCTGGGGGGTGTTTGAACACCCCCCTTGTGGTTTTTCGCGAATATCTCAAAAACGGCGGCGCGGAGCGCCGCCGTTTTTGGTACACCTTATTATAATACATCAATTCTACACATGTTGTGAAAATTTCAGACCACGGTCATTCAAGGTCAGGTCACAAGGTCACTTGAAGTGACCTCACCTCATAAAAAGTTTCAATGTCTGTCATAGCTACACCGAGTGACCGATCGCTTTGAAACTTTCAGCGATTGCTAAGAGCAATAGCATGTACAAAATGTATATCTCAGAATTTTGATATCGATGACCTAAGGTCAGGTCAATTTTGCGACCTCCCCATTATAAGTCAATGGGAGAAAATTGAAATGCGCCTCTTTTGGACGAAAGAACACTCCCAACCACTGAATTACAAGTGGTTTAGACACACTGAACATGAAAATGGTGTCCGTGACCCATGTTTATGCCCTGAGGTCATCTTAGGTCACGAATGGTATCTAACAGTTTTTCGCAAATAACTTTTGATAGAGGCATGCTAGAGCGATGAAAACGCCTTAGATGTGTTCAGCTTGACGATACGGATCGACTGATATGCAACATGAACTTTCCGGTCAGGTCATGACCTTGACCTGAGGTCAAATTTTCAAGTTGACCTTTCAAGGTCAAGTTATAGTTCATTCGATGCGTCTTGACGAGAGGAACACGATGCCGGTAAAAGTAAGCTCGTACAAGGCTTGGGTCAAAAGTTATTGCAGAAAGACTGTTTCCGAAAAAATCGGCTATTTTTGCAGTTCTTGCCCTCTGCAGGCAAAACTGTTGACGTTAGGTCAAATCTGAGAAAATTATTCAGAAAGGGCGTTAAATAGGACTATCGAATGCGCTTTTCCGCGGCGCTGTAGCTCTATTGGTTCCCGAGTTATGCGTTGGCTTCTTGAAAATTGTCGACATTCGACCTGGAAATCGGCGAAATTTTGCCTTCGATGACCTCTGGTGACCTGACCTTTGACCTGACCAAAAAATTGACCGAAGTGATTTCCTCATTATTTTTGACGCTCTTTCGAACACCGCCTTCCGCGTATCGCTACGTGGCCCAGGAGCCGAGTTAGAAGGGGGGGGGGGTGTTCAAACACCCCCCCCCCCAGCAGGGCATGGAAATCCAGGACCCCCAGCCGGGCGCGGGATAACCACGGTGACTATGCTATAGCATGCAATGTCGGCTGGACATTCTTTCTGTTACACAAAAAGTGCGATGAAGTGATGGCGGATAATCTCTTGAATTTAGTGTCATTCTGTGTAAAATTAAACGCTGTATCGAATGCTAGTCTAGAATCATATGTCAATGATGTCTGTCAATGCAAAATTGTACTGCAAACTTGAATTTTCTCGTGGGACCGGCCGCCGGCGGGCCGAGCGTCACGTGACCCCAATCTCAGGAGCCGGTCAAGGTCACATGGCCTGAGTACAGTTAGTAGTTCCCAGATTCGCCGCCAGAGTAGCGCCACTTGCAACGGAGCAAAAGAATGCTATATTGCGCGGTAGACTTTTAAAATGAACTTGAATATTTCTTCTTTGCCGACAGAACCCCAATGTCCCCGCTTGTATTGTCCTTGGACCCTAACGTAAAACCCTAAAACTGCCTCTCTAAAACGCTTCAATGAAGACGAAGTAATACTTCGAAATATGGCTGCACTGATACGAACCGTATACGGCGCTTTTGTTTCAAGGGGTCCGTTTTTATCATTTTTTCCATCGAATATGAATCTGGAATCTGAATTTGAATTTGAAGCTAAGTATATAAACGTTTTTGTTTCATACAGCGGCTCAAAACAGCTGTCATTGGAGCTGCTTTCTTGAGATGCCTTGATTTCTCGATTCAAATTTCAAATTCGTTGAATTTGTAGTCTTCTACATCAGTAAACCGTGAATGGTAATATTTGATTAACTTTATTAGTTGATATTACTTACCTGAGTTATTACCAGGGGGGTTCGCTCCCGTGCCTTCAGCATTACGAAAAATGGCAACAGCCCGTGAGCAGCATCAGCGCTCACGCACATGTTCAAGGAAAACAACGTGTAATTAGCTGCTGACGACGGCCCTCTTCACCAATCAGCGCTCGGTAACTCGAGCGCTGATTGGCTGGTAGCAAACGCGTCATATGTGGGTCTCATTTTTTTGCTATCAGTGAACGCGTTATTTAATACACAGTGGCCTATGGCCTTGGGCCTATGGAGAATGGCACGCGGAATTGAAGGTCAGTGTTTTATTGCTTCGTACCCTCGAATGGGGGTATTTGAGTGGCATTTGACACCATTTTCGAAATCTACAGTGAATTTCTGATCGACTCATGTATATATTTTTATGAATTTGACAGTATTAGTGCTACATAGTCGGTGTTTTATGTTGGTGTTGTTTCTCTCGACCTTTGTCTTGGACTTTAATCATATCAGTTGGGCAAACTACGGGGAGGTAATCACGAACTTGATTAATCAAGTTCATGATTATTTTATGCCCATATTTGGTCATGTTTGCAGCCCGTCACGAAAACGGCCGAATCTCGATTCAGGGTCTACGGAGATGCACGAAAATTTTAAGACCGATAGAGAAGAAGTCACTCTACAAGTGTAATCTTTGAATGATTCAAGTTGAAAATCGTGAGGCGGTAGATTGCAACCAAAACGTAATCAACAACTTGATTACGAGGCGTCGTCCCGGGAGTCCGATGATCAACTTCTTGATTACGCAGCCAGCTGGCTAATCATGATCTTGATTTCGCATTCAGCTGGCTAATCACGATTTTGATCGCGCTGATCGTGCTACTGGCGACCGTTGAACAATGCAGCTAATTAAAAGATACAATGGTAATGGTGTATATAATAGACAAAATCAATCAGTTTTGGTGGGATGGAATTTATGTTGCAGTTAATGTTTCTCATGAATGACTTGACCGAGCCTGTTCAAATTTTGTGTGTGGCTGGAAGCGGATTAGCTATAAGCTTTGGACGAATCGGGGATAGGATATATTTGCACACGCGCACCTTATTTCTGTATCTCCGGAACGGCGTCACCGATTGTTTTTCAATTTTGGTGGGTGGCTAGAGACTCAATAGCTGTAAGCTTTAGACGAGTTAGGGATGTGGCACACACATGTGAACTTGTGCACGAGCACACCTCTTCTCGCGCTTGCTCGCTCACATTGCCGAACACGGAGCTGAAAAAAGACCACCCCGAGCAAGAACACCGCTGTCCGCGATAAGCGGCCTGACCATAAGTCAGCTCAAATGATAATCTGCATACGACCGTCGACCACATATATTGGACGAATAGCGTCACAACCCAGAGCCCGTGTAACCAAGCACAGATCAAAGATATATTTCAAGAAATGTGTATTTATAGTCCTGCCAGTGGAAGGCTCAAAGAATTGGCAAACGCTTCCGACACCCCGCAGCGGCATGCTCTACGGGGATCTCACTCCACTTGCTTCACGGTCGCAATGGCCGCCGCTGATGGCGGCACATCGGCCTTCACCCCACCAAACACTTTGGTTCTCAGAAACCAATTCAGATTGACCATGTCTTTAGGAGTTTTGATGTTAAAAATCCAAAAGGTGGCCTGCCACAGCAGGAATGCTTGGTCTGGTGGCGCCGATACCACCTCCTGGGCCTCGACGAATACCGCGTCTTCCCCGCCCAGCTCTCCATTCACGATTATGGGATGGAAAGTTTTGCGGGCCTCCGTTGGCTTCCGTCGTCTCTTGGAGAATGCGATGCAGGTTCTCCAGCTCATCCCCTGCAAAATGTTCATAACCAAATTATAGGTACACTTAACATTGCGTGGGAGAAAATGGAGGAGAAAGAATAGGAGAGAAGGAGGGAAAGAGTAAAGGGGAGAGAGAGAGAGAGAGAGAGAGAGAGAGAGAGAGAGAGAGAGAGAGAGAGAGAGAGAGAGAGAGAGAGAGAGAGAGAGAGAGAGGGAGGGAGGGAGGGGAGGGGAGGGGAGGGGAGAGAGGAGAGGAGACACGAGGAGAGGAGAGGAGAGGAGAGGGGAGGGAGTGAGGAAGGAAGCAAGGAAAGATGGAAGGAAGAAATGATGGAGGAGAGGTAGGCGGATGTAACAAGGCAAACAAGACAAGACATGGACCTGATGAGTTGGCGCAGGGCACTGATAGGTACTACATTTTGGCACATGATGTGAAAATAATGTACAATGCCTCAGACTCAGCAGTTTGGAAAATGTAGGTACAAATTACACATGCATTAGTGAAGAAGTTTCTGCATTTAGATTAGAATAAATTGTTTTGAAAACATTAGACAATGCCTGTATCTTGAAAAAGGATTAGATTGGGCTGTGTCAGGACAAAACTGGGGATGAGTCATGTGAGCTCGCAAAGTTCTCAAGTTGTGCCAGGCAACTTCATGAGATTACACTAAAGGAGCTCCAGCGAATTATTTTCAGCATGCCCAGCTTGAGTGTGCAAAATGTACACTGGACTGGACCACTGTAGTGTCTGAACGTGATGCACAAAACTGAACGTGACACACCAGCGACAAAACAAAACACTACAACCATCTATTGCAAAAACAATTCATACATACCTGCAGCTGTGTGTCCCTGCATCCTGGCCTGCTGTCTTGCATGAGCGATGCACATAATACAAATGTAGCTGTACTTAGTCCGCTTAATTCCAAAGAAATTCATCATATCATTTTTTGATTGAGCGTTCCTCAACGTGAGACCATAGGTACCATTATCACGAGCTTCCTGAACAATACTGTGGTGACGGCGACGCCCACTGCTACAGCGAGGAGGTGGTGCTTTGATGAGCTGTGGAAAAACAGACACATTTGCAGTCACCACTTCTATTATTGTTCTATGAATCCATGACAAAGCCACTTAGAATGCAAGTATGAATAACCTAGCATAAGCCCAAATTTAACTTTTCATTAAAAACTAGAAGATATATCCTATTGGTCCCTGCTTGCACAGACAATTGACTGAATAAATGATATGGCCACACTGCAAACTTTCGCACAACCTGCCAGGCCATAACATTTCTAGCTACTGTGGGCAGTTAAATGTGCCTCTCTAATCAACAATTGCCCCAAACAACAAAATAGGCCTATTATTTACTTTAAAATAAACTATAACCCTGTAAATAGCAATACATTTCGTAAATAATTAAAATATTATACCGCGGAAAGCATGCGCCATGATAGCCTACAAAATCATCATAAATTCTATCGCGATATTTCAACATTTATACCGACGCACATGAAGGTTGAGGCTATTCAAATTTACAAACATGATCTAAATTATTTAAAAAATGCTAATTTTACCTATAAGAACCAAATTACCAATAATTCGGCGCCAATTTCCGGCCTCACCCACACACCGACAACACGACAAATGGCGGCGTGCTAATAGGCGACGGTGCCTTTTCGAAGAAATCTTTATTACGACCAATTTAAGACGTGTGTAAAATGAATGTTCAATGATTTATTTTTAAATTAGAAACGTAAAAATGTGGATAAAAGAATAATATCCGCCTAAAAAGGGCTTTAAAAAATATCACTTTTCTGAAAAAGTTAGGCTAGCAGTTTATCTTTCGCCATATGAGCTAAAGTACATATCCCACTGCTACCGGTCCATATCATTTCGGGAGAATAGAATATTGCGTTTCACCTGGTAAAAAATAGTGTCGATATGGACATTATAACAATCGAAACGAAACACTTGAATAGTTCGGTGCACGAAAAGTAATCAAAATCTTGATTACAACTCCTTATATGGTCATGCCACGCCCCATTTTCATGACGTCATAATCATGAACTTGATTAATCAAGTTCGTGATTACCTCCCCGTAGTTTGCCCAACTGATATCTTTTCTCGAAAATGGTTGCCATAACCAGGTCTAAACTGTATTTGTATAAAGGGAATATGTGTTGAATATGAGGGGAAAGTAGTAATGACCATTCTGCCTATCAAACTGCCAGAAGGTGTGCTTGTAAGGTGATTGAAACTGCAGTACGGGTTGCAGATGTGGGTTTGACATTAGCATTGTTGTTTTAACCCCACTTGCTCTAATAAAATGGCAACATGGGGTTATGTACACACTATTGCACAGCCTGGTATCAAGCTGGTTGATATGTGGAGGATAATGAAAGCATAAAAGAATAGGAGCGTTGCGTCTTGTGACTTATGTCAAGTCATTTTAAATCAAATGATTGTGATTGTAACTTTTACTTCAATTATTATTGCAAGTTTTGACCTTTTTAATCATCAAATTTTATGTGTACCAATTTCATATGCCTGTGTAATGTCTGTGCGACTTTGTGCAGTGTGCGTGTCTTGAAACAAACCAATTTATTTTGTACCTTTTTGTACTTCAACAAATGTATGTCAAAGGACAAAAATGTCATGTCTATTATCATTGACACTACTACAGCTAACCCTGCCTGTATTCCTATCTTTCAGAGGCATTCAATTCAATCTGCTTTCCAGTGCAGTACCAAGGACGCTGCAACTGAAACTCGCACAAAGGCAATCAAGTGTCACTTCATCAGCCTACAGTAACAGCCCATCTGTAATCAAGATATGGATGAAGGGGCATAGAAGAACAACCAGTTCAAACATGAAAAGATTGTATTTTGTTTTGGATTATTTCTTAGCATAACAGAACAGTACACTTGCTGCTTTTTATGTTTGCCCTGTGTGCAGTTTTGAATAATTTTAACCATGAGATGCTTTTGTCAGCTATTCTCTTTACATAAGCTTCCTTTGTCATGCATGTGTAATTTTGAGTTTACATGCATGATGTAGGCACATTTCCCTTGGCTTCATAGAAGTTAAAACTACTTGCAAGCTTTGGTTATGGACATTGGTGCTATATATGATGCTTCAAATGTGTCCAGTAGTTGATGAAGGGAGAAGAGGAGTAGGACAGCTGATAGCTATTACCAAAAGTATGTGCTTGTCTGCACTTCGGGCTGTTTTACTTCCTTGATTTAAAAAAGCCTCATCTTTTGTTTCTTTCCTGTGTGCCCATTGTTTCCATGGTGCTATACATAAACGTCAAGTTTGAAGTTGGTATCCAAGTGAGCAAAATGTGTATTATTTCAGTCCGTCTGGAATCATTCGTCTTGAATTATATCCCTAACTGACATCCTGTTATTTGTCCTCCAGGGCTGCGGAGTCGATGGATTTTCGGCGACTCCGACTCCGACTCCGACTCCGGCTTTCAAAAACCAGCTCCGACTCCGACTCCGGGCAGAATTGTCGACTCCGACCGACTCCAACTCCCGGCTCCGACTCCGCAGACCTACCAGGGCTGCGGAGTCGACAGATTTTCGGTGACTCCGACTCCGACTCCGGCTCGAGTTTCTAAAATCGACTCCGACTCCGACTCCGGTCACAACTGTCGACTCCGACCGACTCCGACTCCGACTCCGCAGCCCTGTGTCCTGCAATGTCTGTGTCTGTGTCCGCCCTTACCTCCGGCTCCAGCCTCCAACCAGCCCTGCTGAGCTCTGTCGCCGGCGCGGTGTGTCGCAACGTGCTGTTTCTCCACTCCAGCCGACAGCTGCTAGGAATCGTCCTGTGCCATGCGCCATGCGACACAGCAATTGTAAGCTGCAGGTCACATTCGGACTGATTGGCTCCGCGTATGTGCATTCGGCCGGGAGCTAGTCGATATCAGGGACGTGGGTCGGACTGTTGTGGCGGCGTGCACTGTGCTGGTTGAAGTTGTATTTCTGTTAGTGAAAAGCATTAATACATAACCGTGGCCGCAGCCCAATGTTATTGTGGATTTCAGAGGGAGTGGCCAGTCAGGAGGGCCCCATGTGGGTATGGATCCAGTGTCCAGTGGGATTGGCTAAGATTTCCGGCGATTGATAAACGCTTCTATGATAGTAAACCTATTGAGTTATGAGGGGAGGTCACGTGACGGACCTGACCTTACTAAACTCTTGTGAAAACACGACACATACGAACGGTAAGAAACCGACAACTCTTCTTTCTGCCAAGTGTCATCTTTCTGTGAAGGATTTCTTGGCACTGAGTGTTCAGAAATTGCGTTGTTTTTGGACTGTGCAGAGGCTCACGAGCGACAACATAGGTCAACAACCTGACCTACCTTAAATATGCGACTTGTACCATAAGATCCAGCTTGATCAAAAGATAGGACATGTCAAATTTCATCTCTTTATCTCAAAAGAATTTTGAGCTATCGTAAAAACCGCCAGTGTGGCACCATATCGCCTCCGCGCGCGGTCGGAAGGTAAAAGTTCGCCGGCTCTAACTAAACAAATAGTCGTCGTATCGCAAATTCATTGACGGCGTTCGAAGCGTCGTTCAATTTACTTTCGAAACATATCCTAACATTACCATTTAACTGCCTAGCGCAATCACCAACAAGCAAAAGTTCCGCGCATCCCTCCTCATACAGTGTTAGCGGCGGCCGGCCGCCGGCCGCGGACACGCCTAAGAGCTGGACTTTTTGATGACGTCTTCGGGTGACGTCATGTCGTGTGTGACGTTTCGTGGGCAGGTAAGGAAAAGTCACCACCGCTGGCGAACATTGGTGCGGTAAATGGCAAACACAAATGCTGCGCAGAAAAGACAAATGTGTAACTTCAGACAACATTCGTTCGGACGACAATGTCAAGGCGAATCAAGAAGTTCTTCGTGCGATTGTTAGGTAGTTATCTGTCTTGCTATTTTAGTATTATTGTTATTAGCAGTTGATTTGTGAAATGTATTATCAAAATCAATGTTTATTGAACGCAGATTCAGTTTATTGTACCTAGGTACCCTTACACCTTACACTTCACTCATCTCAAGCTGTTCAAACACCCTTGACAAAGTCGATTAAGATGAAACGCTGGGTATAATTTATACCGTGTTTTCTCTGCATTATTAACATATTCATCATATATACAATATAAGGGCCACATGCTTTTTACAGGGAGACATGTCAGACAGCCCAGTAGGATGAGGCTTCGTCAAGCGTCATTTTTAGCAAAGCTTTTCTTGCCTAAAATCCAGTCTGCAAAACATGGCAGGGCTTACACTTTGGCTAACACTTGACTCCCAGCTGTTGTGTCTTTGCTATGCGATGTTAAACCTATAAAACATCTTACTTTTCATGTATGCGCCATGACTCATGTAATCTTTTCACAGCCAGGACGCTCCTAAGGTACCTACTGGGAATGTGGGGAGTGCAGCAGCATCAGTGCAGCACCGATGGTCGCATGCGACGGCTGCGATAAATGGTACCACTTCCGTTGTGCGGGACTGACTAAGGAGCCAGGTAAGCGCAAATGTTTTCTGGCTCAGTATTTTTGTTGCAGCTATAGTGATCAATGAAATATTTTCCGCACTGTTCAGCCAAACATGTATTTCAAACAATCTGCTTCCCAACCAAGGGTGTCGCCACAGGGGGGGGGGGGGGACAGAGGGAATCTCGTCCCCTCCACTTTTTAAAATTTTAACATTACGCCTATGGCGTTGCATGGAAAGAATCGACTTGAAATGGTCCTCGTCCCCTCCAAAATGGTCAATGTCCCCTCCAGTCGTCGCACCGTGGCGTCGCCCCTGTTCCCAACTACACAAATTTAGTCAAACAATGTGCCAATATGGAATTTTCAGGTTCAGTTGAATGAAATAGGAACAATGATAATTGTAGATTACGTATACCTGCAAGAGAGGAAAACAGAATACATTGTATTGCTTGTCCTTCACCGATACTGTTATTTTTCCATTTCTAGAAACACCGACATGGCGATGCAGGTGATACTGCCTGGTGAGGCCGCGGTCTCCGGAATCGCCTGCAGACGAAGTCACCTGGCGTCCATCTGCACATCACTTGCAGCAGTGAGGCCTGCTGACAGCGTCTGGCAGTGTCGGCAACGTGCCAGCCAGCTATCTGGAGTCCTGCTCACCGCAGGTCGCCGACAGGAAGGGGCGACGCATCGTCTCCGAGGTCGCCTCAGCAGCAGTGAGACCCCACTGGCCGTCTTCTTAGGCTTCAACTAGATTGCGAACAACCTATGCTGAGACAACGCCCATGACGTGTGATCCGGTACCGCTACCGCACTGCGTGCCTGTGCCCGCCGTGAGCCGCTAGTGCATGGGTTCGACCATGAGAATATGTGTTTATGTTGCTTTTACTATTGTTTATACGTTGAAGTGACGAATTGTTTATTTTTCGCAAGCCTCCACTGTCCGGTTGCCTGCAGCTCCATGCAACGCCAGCTGTACTGTTGTTTTAATGTTGTCTCTCCGCTCAGCTGTACTGTTGCCTCTCCGCTCATAACAACCTATGCTGAGACAACGCCCATGACGTGTGATCCGGTACCGCTACCGCACTGCGTGCCTGTGCCCGCCGTGAGCCGCTAGTGCATGGGTTCGACCATGCGAATATGTGTTTATGTTGCTTTTTATATGTACTGTTGTTTATACATTGAAGTGACGAATTGTTTATTTTTCGCAAGCCTCCGCTGTCCGGTTGCCTGCAGCTCCATGCAACGCCAGCTGTACTGTTGTTTTAATGTTGTCTGTCCGCTCAGCTGTACTGTTGCCTCTCCGCTCATATATGACACCCTCTATATGAATGGCACTACTGATTGTCACACCCACTGTCCGTATTGTCCGTAGTGGTGTCTACGCCCATGTTAATACAGCGTGCAGAATCCAGATTCTATTGAGGAGAGTTGAGCCAAGTCACCATAGGCTCGGGAAGAGAGCAACGTGGAGGCCCACTGCCCCTTCCCCGGCCCCCACTGGGGGCGCCAGCCACTCCAACTTTTGACTGGATGTCAAGAGCGTCGCCACGAGGGGAACGAGTCGCCGGCCAGCCAAGGTAGCCAACGGCGTGTGAAGGTTGCCTGACCTCGAGGAAACTGAGATGGCACCAACGGAGGTTTTGTTAAAGGGACCCTCCCACCTTAACATTAGTTTTGAGTTGAGATAGCCAAGTTTGCGGCCAGGCTCAGAAACCACCATTTATCCTGGTCGCAACCCCCGCAGCTTTATGGTGTTCAAGAAATTTCCTCCCTTTACTTGCAGGGTGGGACCAGCGTGGTCCCTATCTCTTAACCATTACGGGAATCTGATGACGTCATCAGGCTTTCGAACGTCCGTTAAATGTTTGACTAAAACGTTTTGTAGCACGCGGTGGTATATGCTGCTTTGCGCGCAACAAATGCCGCACTTTCAAATAAAGTCGCTAGGAACAGCGGAGATCCCAAAAAGTAAACAAAAGTAAAAGTCTAATATCTTGAAAACCGGTGAATATTTTTCGATGAAATTTGGTAGATATTCGTGTTTGCTCTTTCTGAACCGAGCGACATCACTTTCATGCCAATTCATTAACTTTTTTGAAGGTGGGAGGGTCCCTTTAAGTAGGCGACCAAAATTCGAGCGGCAGCAACCTGGGCACCTTCACAGATAGCAGTGCCGCGTATCAGGGCGCCTTCGACGTTGAGCTGGGCGCCGATCATCAGGACGCCGGGGGAATATGACCCAATATCCCCCGTAAATATGTGCCTCGGAAGGGAGACCCAACCATAAAACTGAAAGCTCGCCGTATTTTATCCACTATTTTTCGAGCAGGTCCATAGATTTCCGTCCTCAAAAGTGCGGGGATATTCCCCAGTGTTTGAGTTGGATGGGACTATAGTGGCGTTTACACCGACAGGAGATTCCCATTGCCGGCTGTGGGAAACTACTGTCGGTGTAAACGCTATTCATATTTCCTGCGTCACCCCTGTGGGGACGCCCTTACTCCATGGTGCCGAGCTTATCAATTTGGATATCAATGGAATCAAAATCTCTTATCGATCGATGAAGAACTAAATTACCCCGACCCGGAGAGCGTCTTTGGAATCAAAGCAGTAGCACATGACGCAAGACTTCAGGCAAATAAATCCTTCTTGTGTGAAATAAAACATTTGTGTATTGATAAGCACGTTTTATAAGCAATGGTAGCAAGATTCTCCATGTATTTGGTCAGAGTGATAATTTAGTAGCAGATACTTACCGTCGCATTTCGTTTTTTTTAATTAATAATTTAAATTGTCAGAACTAGCAACATGTCTCTTCACTCAACAATAATTACAAAAGTGAAAAAGAAATGATAAATTGCTTATATTTTGGTGAAACTAAAAATTAATTCAGCACATATTTTTTTTACAGCGTTGAAGTCCAGCTCCAAAGGACAGCTGACGATCGTAGCGGAGCAGGCTGTTTGGTACTTCTTCACTACTTCTTAGAAGTACCCGTTAGTACCGATAATGTCTCACATAATAAGCTATTGGAACAAAAATATCCATGTTCTTCTAATTATTCTCCTTTCACACTTAAAATAAATACTTTTGAAATGCATTTACTAATTAATTTCACAAAAACGGCTTGAAATTTTACAACGTTAAAATACTTATTCCAATTTCCACCATGAAACCACCACTATATTACTTGCTTACAGAACCGTGCGCACAGTGCGCGCAGTTTTATCGTGACGTCAGAGGGTGCTTCCTCAGTGGCGCCCCCTGGCGGGGAACGCGTGCAAAAAGTCCAGCTCTTAGGCATGTCCGCCGGCCGCTGACCCACATTCGCGTCATCAGGGAATGCCGCAACTAATTTATTGTTTCCAACTTTTTTCCCGGAGCGTTCTACCTGGTTTATATAGCCTTGGTTATTACTTACCAATCTTGCTTGATCTGGTTTCTTAAAGGGACCCTCCCACCTTCAAAAAAGTTTATGAATTGGCATGAAAGTGATGTCGCTCGGTTCAGAAAGAGCGAAAACGAATATCTACCAAATTTCACCGAAAAATATTCACCGGTTTTCAAGATATTGGACTTTTACTTTTGTTTACTTTTTTGGGATCTCCGCTGTTTCTAGCGACTTTATTTTAGAAGTGCGGCGTTTGCGGCAGATGTTGCGCGCAAATAGCATATACCACCGCGTGCTACAAAACGTTTTAGTCAAACATTTAAAAATCGTTAGATATTTGCGCTGACGTCACACATTCAGAGGGGTATTCCTAAGCATTAGCCCCTCTGAATCAAAATGCTGCAATTTTGAAATTCAATATTTCCGATTTAAGGCATTTCTCGATGTTGTGAGTGCCGAAACCGGTAATTGTGAGCCAGGGACCCCATTTTGGCTATCTCAACTCAAATCTAATGTTAAGGTGGGAGGGTCCCTTTAATAGGAAAGATCATTTTCCTCGGGTCAGATAAGGAGTTTTGCTACGGTTTTATGATTATTTTTGCCTAAAATGATCAAAGATAAAAAATCAATATTTACCCAAGGAGCTATTGAAATTTTTGTTATGTAGGAATAATTATTTTTATCTTTGAAGCAGGGTAAACAGTGTGTGGGTGGTGGAACTCGGAAGCTTATACAATGCATGATCAATTTCATATTGTGTAGTTCAAAACCAACTGCACGTTGATTGGCTGATGTCAATGTTGGTCTCTGCCAGCAGTGGCGGATCCAGGGGGGGGGGGGGGGGCAAAATGGGCATTTGCCCCTCCCAAACGGCATAATTTTAACATTATGCCTATGGACGAGGCATGGAAAGAATTGATAAATTGTTATGGCTTGCCCCCCAAAACTCTGAGCTGGATCTGCCACTGTCTGCCAGAGGTGGCTGATTCTCGGCATTCTTTTGTAAGGCACCACATCCCTGTGTAACTTGTTAGGCACTAACATTGGAATGAGAAATGGAATGAACTGCCTAGGGTGATTGTGGGGCTGTAAGTCCTATTCTCCTGATTCTGATTTATGCTAGTCTCAGCTCAAGCTACAAAACTGCTAGTCCAATTCTAAAACCCATGTAAAAAGTGGTGTATTTCTAAAAAAAAAACTAGATTATAAGGTTATATTTGAAAACATATATATGTCATAATGCTGTTCATACAAGTACTTCGCCATTTACTTGGGCTAGTGATGTTTGATTTCAATTTGGACCTGTGACATTTACCTGTTCTGGTTTCAATTTGATATGAAGATATAAGAAATAAAGGTTAAACTGTGTCATTTCTATTTTATTTTACAGGGGGTCCCAAAGCCAGGAGGATAAAATTAAGATAAAGGATAACCTCTTACCTCTATCAATCACTTTTTAAAATCCATGCCTACCAACTTAAAAATGTTGTGAAAACTTTTAAGCTTTCCATCCCCTACCGACCACATCACAGTTGACATCAAGATTGCATTGGGAGGGGGGGGGGGGGGGAATTTGTGTAAGCAAGTAAAGGGCTTTAAACCTCATAGTGCATTGCCTTTGTGATGTAGAATACCTATTACTTTACTTTATATAATGTTCATCAATATATACTACTTCATCAAACAGGTGTTGGCTGCTTCAATTTTCCTTACCAATGACTGTTTATTTCAGAGCTCCAAAGAGAACCATGGACAAGGTTGAATATACAGCTGTACCAGTGGATGATAATGAAGTGTCGCTGAAACAGACAGTTAATTATGATTCACCTTTTAGATACGAATCAGCATTTGATTATCGCTCAGTTGCCAAGTTTAGTAAAGCTTCTTTTCCGTCAAAATCCTATTTTACATTTTCCAAGCAAACAAACCATGCACAAGAAAATGGTGAGTTAGACGTTTTGGTGCAAGTGTCCTAAATTTTATCCACTTTTGTTAATTTTGCACTGCTTGCCATTACCAAGCCTTATATTGTTGACGCTATATTTTGTTTTTACTCTGCTATTAAGCAAATTTATTCATAGGTATGTGCCTGTAGGTCAAACTCATTCTTAATATGGTTCATGAATTGTGAATAACTATAGGTTTAGTTCTTGCCACCCACCTTCTGGTAATGTCATCTTAAGTGTTCCTATTCCTATTTTCACATTCCACACATCATGGTGCCATAAACTAGTGATGCATAGTATACCGTAAAACGGGGTGTTAAGGGACAGTTTTGAGGTGTTTTGTTATATAACTCAAGAAGGGTTGGGGATAGAAGCATCAACTTGTCAGCATTTTATGTGGAATTTGGTGCTTTGCATGCCTGCTACATTAAAGTTTTAAAAATATACACATGCATATTATTTTTTATTATTTTTCATCGCTGTCCCTTAGCACCCCAATGTGGGGTGTTAAGGGACACCTAAATTATTCCAAGAAATGGTCATCAAATGCCCACAATTGGGGTGTGAAAGGGCACACAATTTATTTACTGAGATGCTTTGCATATTCTGTCACAAAACAAGTCAGGTTCATTCAATACTAATGGCCTTTTTAGCCAATTGCATATAATGCAGTTTACGCTTCTGGAAAATGTGCTAATTATAAGGTAAACAGAACTAAAAGTACCCTTCTGTCATCAACAAAAACCCATTTTGAAGCTAGTCACTTGTCATTATGTTGCCTTCTTTGTTTTGACCTTTTTATGATGACATCACATTTACCTACATCAGTCTTCATTGACCCATCATTGTAAAAGAGAGTGTTAAGGGAGTTTTGAGGTGTTTTGTTCTATAACTTGAAATGTGTAAGAGATGAAAGCATGAACTTGCCAGCAATTTAAGTGGAATTTGGTGTTTTCCATGCCTAATGAAAGAAAAATTATATTTATATATTATTTTTTATTTTTCTTCCCTGTCCCTTGGCACCCCACATCCACCTCAAAATACGCATGTGTCCGGAAAAGAGGAAGAGGATGATGAATGAATGGGTGGATTTGTATAAGTTTTTCAGGAAACATGTGCAATACATGTGACAATACACCTATGCATTCATTTTACCTGTATACCTACTAGTTTATGTGGTACACACAGAGTTTTGGAGATGTCTCAATTTTGTGAAAATGTAGCATGATTTTCAAAACCATTTTTGAACCAAATCACTTGCATGAAAAACCATGCCATTTTGCCCTATAGTCAAGAACAAAACAGTGTCAACTACCACACTCAAGTTTTTATTTAACCTTCTCAAATTAGGAACTTAACATGACTCAAAGTTTTTCCCACACAACTGTCCCTTATCACCCCACTGTCCCTTAACACCCCATTTTACGGTACCTAACTTCTGAATGCAAACCTAACTGACTGTACCACCGCCTCCACACCTGCCCTAATCTGTGCGCGTCTGCCGCCGCTGACGCCTTCTGTCCGCCGCTGATGCTTTCTGTCCGCCGCTGACACCTTCTGTCCGCCGCCAGCGGCCGCTGACGCCTTCTGTCCGCCGCCAGCTGCCGCGGACGGCGACTGTCTGACGCGGCTCGTCTCCGGCCTGCTGCTGTTCGTCGTGCTCTCACTGACGGTGCTCACGCTGCCCGTGAGCGGCTGGTGGACGGTGCGCCGGCTCTCGCAGTGGCAGCGGCTGGTCGTGTTCCGTCTGGGGAAGGTGTTGCCGGCGCGTGGGCCCGGCTGGGCGCTGGTGCTGCCTGGCATTGACACCACTCAGGTGGTGGATCTGCGCAACAGGAGCATCCTGGTGCCGCCGCAGCAGGTACGGGACACAGCTGGCCGAGCGCTACCGAATAGGGTATACAACAGAAGTGCCATCTTGTAGTAAGCTGAGTCCAGGCTCATCTGAGAAAGTTTCAGTTTTTGAAATTGCCCGACCATGACTGAGCACCACGTGCAATGATATGCGTATTTATTATAGCCATGATGTTAAGCGAAGCTCATCTTCATAATTTTTGAAACGGTGGATGTGGATAACGGTGGATATGTTTTATCACACTTAGCCCCATTCGGCTAATCGTTTCCCGTCGCCAAGAACCGACTATTCTCCAGTCACCTCACTGTCCCCCTTTGCCTCCCCCCGCCGCCATCAGCTGCTAACGAGCGACGGCGCGGTGGCCGAGCTTGGTGCCGAGGTGCTGTACCGGGTCTGTGACGCGCACACGTTCGTCGGCTCCTGTGTGGACCCGCAGGCCTCGCTGCGGTCACTGTGCCGCAGTGTTCTGGTCAATACACTGGCCTCTCAGGAGGTGAGGGTAGGGTAATATACCGCAGTGTACTGGTCAATACACTGGCCTCTCAGGAGGTGAGGATGGGTGGGGTGGTCTTCCGCAGTGTGCTGGTCAATACACTGGCCTCTCAGGAGGTGAGGGTGGGGTAATATGCCGCAGTGTACTGGTCAATACACTGGCCTCTCAGGAGGTGAGGGATGGGGTGGGATAGAGCGATGGATGGAGGTAAGTGTCTCTCAAAGGTTGATAATGGATGCTATTTGATTGCTATTTGCTATTTGCTATTTGATGTTATTTGAAGGTTGATTTGGATGCTAGAGTGATGAGGCGATTGTGAGCGTAAATTTGCGTGAGATAGAATGGGATAGAGGTGTTTGCAAACTGTAAATTGAAACAAAACGTTGGGTTTGCTTGTAAATTTATTTATATTTGTATGTTACCTTATTACGGAGCGAGCGAAGTCTTTCCTTAGATTGGCGGAAATTTCTGAGTATGAGCGGCCGGCCGTGCGGACGCTTTTGCGAGGCTTATATCTCAGCAACCACTTGGCTGATTTACACGCGGTAATTTTTGTAGGGTAGCTTCATTCCTTCTACCAAGTATTGGACTATTCCCGATGCATATAGGTGACCCCTTATGCACGTGCCACGTGCAAAACGAAGAGGTGTCAGTTTTGTAATTGTTGCAATATCTCGGTAACTACTTGGCCGATTGCGCTGAAAGTTGGCATGTAGGTAAGCACCCACTAGGCACTGCATATCCATGTGCCAGAGTTGGGGTGCTGCTGCACGTGCGCACGTGCAGGGGTCGTTTCCAGATCTCGAGAACGGCTGGACCGATGGCGCTCAAATTTGGTACACGGTTAGGGACCAGTTAGTAGGGTGCCGTGCACAAGTCAGTTGGGACCCATTTTGCACGTGCGCACGTGCAGGGTGCCGCTTCCAGATCTCGAGAACGGCTGGACCGATTGTGCTCAAATTTGGCATATCGCTAGAGACCGGTTATTAGGGTGCCGTGCACAAGTCAGCTGGAGGTACCCCCTCGAAATTTCGCACGTGCAGGGCTCACCCTCTCGCTCGCTCCGTTAATCGCCCCAAAAGGCGTTATACTGGTTTTAACCGAAGGTTTGTTGTCAATAGTTAAAACACTATTCTTTAGAATTGTGTTTTTCTATTGAAAAACAAATCTGAGTTCCCTGACAATTTGGCAAAAGCTGCCTGAGATCAGTACAACTTGATGCTCTTGAAAACGGCTGGTCCAAATATTCTGATTTTTTCAGGATTTCTAGTGGGCCAGGTGATCTACGTTCTGGTATGGGTCTCCCCTCCGCGGACCATCTGGTGCACGTGCCACGTGACTTTAAAAATTCCCGTGTTAAGCCAATGGGGAAAATGAAAAAATGCGTTCCACGGCAGATTGCTCGAAAACGATCCAAACGACCCCCCATTTTCTTACATGCAGATCAACCACCATTCGGTGCACTACCCATGGGTATGTCGCAAAGTGGCCGGAAAAGTCCAGAACCACGTGCCACGTGCCGTTGAAAATAACCCTGCACACCGGAAATTGGGACTTTTGGTCATTTCGGCGCACCCATGATGCATACTATGGCGTGGGTGACCAAACAATGGGTGTCATCCGGTCGGCAACTGTTTAAGGTGTCGTCCAGTGGGCCAAAGTGGTAGTTTCAAACTTTTGGGATCCACCACTCTGGGGATTCTTTTTGACAATATACTCACGTTTCTTGGCGCAATGTTCATTCCACCCAGCCGGTCGTCAATGCGTTAGATGACCCAAATGACGATTGACCTGAAGGAAGTTGGGGGCGAGGAACACGCACGTGCCATCCGTTTTTTAATCGGGCGCTTTCATCTAGGAGATTTTTGCAGATATCTTTTTGATTTGTGAAAATGACCAGCCTAGCGGTATGCCAGCCGCTGATAAATTATTATCTTGCTGCGGCCGGGCGCTTATTTGCGGTGTTTGCGTTTGGCGGCTGGCGGGCGACTTTTAGTCGTTTTCGGTTAGCAGTTAGCGTCGGTGCGGTGCGGGCGGTTTTATTTTTTTCGGCGTTTCGGCGTTTTTTCTGTGTGGTTTGCGGCGGTCGGGTGATTTTTTGCCGTTTGCGTTGGCTTTTCGGGCGTGCGTTTTACACGTTTTGCGGTGTTTACGTTTTGCGGCGGGCGGGCGTTTTGTGTTTTTTGCGGTGTTTGTCTTTGGCGGCGGGCGGGCGGGCGGGCGGGCGATGCGGGCGGTTTTCTTCTTTTTTTTTGCGTCGTTTGCGGTGTTAAATTTGTTTGCGGTTGGCGGGCGGTTTTATTGTTTTGCGGCGTTTTTGCGTTTTTTTATTTGCGGTTTGCGGCGGGCGGGCGTTTGTTTATTTTTTGCGACGTTTGCGTTGGCGTTTCGGGCGTGCGTCTTGCGCGTTTTGCGGTGTTTGCGTTTTCCGGCGGGCGGGCGTTTTTCACAATTCAAAGTCCAAACCTTCGGGCCACAGCGCTCCTCGAAAAGCGCTGCCCTCGAGTATACTAGCACTGCTACCGACATGCACTATCACTCGCTATTATGGTGGTGGCATTGCCAATGGTCATGTTCACCCGAGAGTTGCCAACCGTCGTGCTGCAACGTGTATTTGAGGCTCGTGTGTTAGGTTAGGAGGAGAGTGCACATTGCACATGACACATGCCTTTTTTCAGCTGGCTGCGATAACGAGAAAGGCCCCGGAGACGGAGGAGGCCGTCCTTCTCTCCATCAACAGCACCCTGAAAGACTGGGGCATGGAGGCATCATCAGTCAAATTGTAAGTGCCGAGCGTGCATATAACCTGCGTCATAGCGTCATCAGTTAATCGTAGCGCGACATGCATGTTTGCCACCTTTTCATGCTTCAGCGTTGTTTCAGCAAATTAGATCATGCCATGCATCTGTGTCACTTATGCAAATTATACCAATACAACGTTTGTGTGACAAATTTGTATTAGCATAAGATTTAAGTGACCCACTGCTTACTTTGCCGACATGTATGATGACAACAAACGATTTGTCACAGTTTGAAGGCCATTTCTGCTTCTGAAGGCGTGTAGCCGACAGGGGGTCATTGGGTGCTGGTTCCAGGAATCTTGGCTCTGCGGGTCATCCAGACCTAGCTGGCAAGGCATGCTTTCAAACCCGGATGTGCGCGTGTATTGTACCATCATGCTATCTACCTAACTGCAAGCTGAACTCCTCTCCGCAGAGTTTATCTTTTAAATAAGCCAACTTTTGGTATTTGCGACCCAAAGATGGTGAACGGCCTCTAAATATGTGGTCCCTTGTAACCCACTAGTTGTCACGCTCCTAACTGGAAGTTTTGTTCGGTTTCGCAGCTACCGCCAGTGACACCGTCGTCTCCGTTTCCGTTTCAGTTCTGAGGTGAAGGTCCATAAGGAGGCCGAGCATCTATCGGCGGTGAATCCTCTTCTGCGTCAGCTGGGCGGCATGCTGGGCGGGGGCGGGGGCGGCGGGCGGACCATGGTGGCCGGCCAGGCGCCGCTCACCGCCTCCTGGCTGCCGCCGCAGCCGGACGGCGCGACAGCAGCGCCCCTGGCGGCGGGAACACTAGCGCCCCTGGCGGCGGGAACACCAGCGCCTCTGGCGGAGGACTGTGAGACTGCGGCGGCGCTACGGGAGGCCGTGGCGCGGCTGCCCGTCAACACGGGTCTGGCCTCAGGGGTGTTCCGGATCGAGACCACATCGCCCGAGGGCCTCTACCACGTGATTATTGGAGAAGGTGAGCAGTTTGAGCGCCTGAGTGCTGCACCGTGATTTAGCCAGTCACCGGTCTTGATTTACCAGCAATTGAGTCTTCTTAGCTTTAGCATGGATACATGTTTAGCACTTATGATTTATAAAATATCATGACACACGGATGGAGATTGGACGGACAACTTATAAATCATAATATAGATTGATATGTACAGTCCACAGCATAAGTAATGTGCGGTTTCAGTCATGGGTATGGTCTGCTTCTGAAGCTTAGAACGATTAGCCGACTACAATGAAACTTTGAATGTAGCTTACATGTGTCGTCATTCGTCACCCTTGCAGCTGCGACTTTATCTATTAACGTCTTCCTTTCGATCACTCCGCATTAATAAATCGCCATTCAAAGCCATTCGCTGAGAATGGTAAAACTGCACATTACTTTAGCGGTGGGCTGTACTTTGTGAACACATTTTCAGTGGTATTCATTTAATAAAATTGATGCAAAATCGCCAGCAGGAATTCAGACCTTATTTTTCAACTGTTTGGCTTTGTCTGATTGCATTAACTTTGCATACATTGTCCGATACTGTCGATGTTTGATACTGTCGACATGGCTTATGTCACTACGACTATGCAGCACCGCCTGATTATTTTTATCAGCTGTAAAGGCAAGGGATTAGAACAGCAAACTAACCATAGCTGAATGCCAACTCCTATCTGAAGTGACTGAGTACCACATTGGTGTGTCCGAACAAAAAGAACTGCCGTCCGCCAGTCGTGCTTTTCTGACTGCATACTAACCCTCGCGCTCTAAACGCCATCACAATTTGACCTGTGACCTTTGTATGTGATTTCCCGCGACCTGACCTCGATGACCTGACCTCTGTGTGACCTGTGACCTGTGTGACCTTTGTATGTGATTTCCCGCGACCTGACCTCGATGACCTGACCTCCTGTGACCTTTGTATGTGATCTCTCGCGACCTGACCTCGATGACCTGACCTCTGTGTGACCTTTGTATGTGATCTCTCGCGACCTGATCTCGATGACCTGACCTCTGTGTGACCTTTGTATGTGATCTCTCGCGACCTGATCTCGATGACCTGACCTCTGTGTGACCTTTGTATGTGATCTCTCGCGACCTGACCTCGATGACCTGACCTCTGTGTGACCTCCCTGTGACCTCTCTGTGTCCAGGTGTGCGCGATGTGCGCCCGGGACCGTGTCCGGAGCTGACCGCTGACGTCACCGTCACGCTGACCTCGGCTGACCTGCGTCAGCTGATCAGCGGTCAGCTGAGTCCGGCGGCGGCCTATAGCGGCGGCCGGCTGCGACTGCAGGGCAACGTCCACCTGTTGATGGCACTGGGTACGCTGTTCAGGGAGGCAGGGGCGGGGATATAGGGCAACGTCCACCTGCTGATGGCCCTGGGCACACTGTTCAGGGAGGCAGGGGCGGCGGTGTAGGTGGAGAGTGGGTGGGCACAGAGGGCAGGCGAGGGGGACAGGTGCGGGATCAGTGAGGAGGGATGAGGATTGGAGTGGGCAGTGGAGAGGAAGTATTGTGGGGACTGTATTAAATATGTGACTGGATTCAATCGAGAGGGAAATGGGCGCCGATGACCGCTGAAAACAAGGTGCTGTAAAATCACCAATGATCATCAATCTATTTAGACGGAAGAGTTAACTACAGGATATGAAACAGATTAATGAAATCTTGTGTTGGTTTACGTCAAATAATGCCCCATGTCATTTGGTGAATCCAATGTCTACAAATGGGACAGTGAAAGCTCTGACCTACCGATGGTTTAGTTAGAACGCGGCTCCTTGCGTGTTCACTTTACTCAGCCGCTAAGCTCCCGTAACAAGTCACAATCGAATGTCTTTCTTTTAATCACTGCTGTACTGTGGTTAGCGTAAACATGTGTAGGCACTCCAGTAGTCGTGTTCCGCACTGATCGGACAAAATACCGTAACGCTGTGCCTTTGTCAATGCTCTAGATGTTGTGTTGTTTGGCACTAGTTTGTAGTGTAATTTCGTCGGCGTTGACCCATCCTTGCCTCCTTCCTTATCAAGATGTGGCCATGTAGATCTCTGTGTCTTGAAGAGACATGTGGCGTTCGTTTTATTTTATAGCACACTGATTTGCCACCATGGGCATTAGGCATTACTTATCCCGCCCTTATGTGTTCTTGGAGGTTGCGTTGCACGGCCTCGCTAATGTTAAATATGCCGCGGCAGAGCAACAGGCTACATCTAAAGGCCGGTTTTCGCGAGACTGCACCGGCAATAGACGGCTTTCGTCGCTTTGCCACTGTCTTAAGACCGAATTATGTCGTGGTGTTGACTGCCCATCCACACAGGCCAGGCCACATAGGCTAGAAGGGCCCCTCCCGGCCACACCCAATGATTCGCCCCGGTCCGATGGGGGCGGTACGTATCTAGTCGCTGTACCGGCCGGGGGTCCTATCGCCACTGATTCAGGCTCTGTGCCGCGTCCGATTGTGACCCCAATCCCCACTCAACGGCAGCCCGGGACGCGTGATAGCCAACCGGGTGGAGGGGTGTCGTGCAACAATCGCTTGTTTGAACAGTCAGTCTAAGATTATACGGTGCTCTTTATCACGTGATGCACTAAAGAATACTTGGTCATTCGTCAAATTGGTTTTTATTTTGTTTGCTTATGTCTTTGTGAACCAATTATGTGTTTTATCGTTTGTCTTAGCTGCCAGAAATCATTACGACTCTCCAGTTTGCCACCCTAGTTGTTAGCATCGTCGATTAGTGCAATTGATTTGTGTTCACACCCCGATCAAATAAGTGGTCAAGTTTTATGCAATGTCTGTAATGTGTTCTTGCGGCACGAATATGTTATGCTGTAACTTGTGAATGACTCCAATGTGTTTGGAATATAAATATGTGAATTGATCTTTTTCTTGTTGAGTAATGATTGTGATGATTTTCCCTTGCCCCGGGATTCCTTGTGATAAGATAATTTTTACGCTTTAACGTCGTAACCCATTCACACTACGTATATTCAGTCATCATTTTGCATGTGTATGCGTAGAAGCTTCAAAGCAATGTAATAAATTCTCCGTTTCTTACTAATTTTCGATTTACTGATAAGAAATTAGTGTAACTGCATTGCCTAAACTGCAAGGATGATGCCTAAAATCCCAACACGGGATAGTCATCTACATTCTACAATCCACCTGCTGTGATGGAGCAGCGTCTGCCAACTCCCCCTATCGCCCCTCCCCCTCCCCCTCCCAGCTGACGTGTCGCTCCTCCCCCCCCCTCCCCAGCTGACGTGGCCAAGACTCGAGGCTGAGTGTCGCCGGCCCCGGCCCCTCACCGTGTGCGGATTATGTCACAGTGCGCGGGTTTATGTGCGCCCTGCGGCTGACGCAACGCGCCACCCCACCTCCTATGATTTATATCACCCTCAGATTATTTCATATTTTATACCCTGTGCTCCGGGTAGGGGCAGTAGAGGCATATTACAAGCTGGGTGATCTCGAATGACCCATTTTACGTGGATGTCTTTTATTTTTATGTCTGAGCTGAGTCAGATTTTCTAGGTGGCTGGGTTCGATCCCAACAGGGGGCCGTGTTTTTGTCAGTGGGGGATTTCGTGTGGTCACTGGTGGTGCTGCTGTAGTTTGAACGGTGATGAGGAAAAGGGCGGCAGCCTTGACAGGGTTTGTCGATGTCTTTCTCGGGATCTGGTGGGAAGTTTCAGCGATCACTGAGTTCATCACATCTACCGTCGCTGAGGAGAGAAAAAAAAACTTAACAAAATTGCATAGGACTGCTATGTTTCTAATGTTGCTTGAATTTCATTGAAATCTTTGAAACAGTTCTTACGCTTCAAGGATCAAGCTGCAAGCAGCAGCTTTCAAGTAGCTCTACATACACGGCTCTAATGCTGCCACGTCCACAGGTCATGAGTGGTTCAAATGGCTCAATCAAACTTTGCACTGAACTCTGAAGCCATAGTGCCAACTGCCATCCTCGTTCGTCGATAGCAGCTTTTCGATGAGTCGAGCTGCAACACCCGGCAAATGAGTAATATATTGGCTAATTCAACATGACGCGCCTTATAGTGGCGGAGTTCGTCCCGTCTTGGCAGGTGTGCTTCAGATATTGTTCAGTTCAGGTCAACAGGCATTGTCTTTCATCACCCCTCCATAAACCACGCACTTTCCAGCGCCTCACGCTTCTATTCGTAGCTCAGACATATCCGGAAACATGAATGCATATTGCATACGTTCGGGGCCTGTCATTTCCCTGTTCTCGTCACACCACTCGGCCTTTTCTCCTATCAATCACCGTTTTATCCGACGCTGCCGCCGCTCCTGCCGTCATCATCGCGGCTCGCTGTGAGTGGTTCGCGTCAGCAGTATCCTGAACACCGTCAGCGCCTCCCCGGGCCCTCCCCCTCCCCCACTCCTCCGGTCGCCGCAAATTTGCGTGGCCAGCTCGGATGACGCCGGTGCCGGCGCGTGCGGCTCGCGAAAATCGCGCGGCACGCGGCCGCCACCATTGTAGTCTATTTCGGCGGCGGCGCGACGTGCCACCGGCGCGCTCCGGCGCCGCGGAGACCGTTCGTCGGCGCCGACGCGCGCTCGTCGACTGCGACGGACGTGCCGCGTCGCGAATGCCGCGCGGCGCCGGCGCGCTGGCGGTGCCGGTCGCGCGCGACGCTTCGACAGGTGACGGCTGAAATGGGCTCCTCTCGGCGTCGGTGTCGGGTGAAATGGGCGTGTCGCAGATACCCGCTACCAGCCGAGCTACTAGAGGGGTTGCCGGCTCCGGGAGAGGCCGCCTGGAACGGCGCGAAAGACAGGCGGGAGGCACTAAGGCGTGTGGAGGCTAGAGTCGCCCGGACTGGGCACAGTCGACTCGTGAGCTGGAGTAGGTGAGCGGGCGTTTCAGTACTTATAGTCAGCCCGGCTGTTCGGCTGCAGACTAATCCTCCCTTTACATCATAGTACGAATGATGGGTAGACGACATTTCTGCTAATGTCTGTCAGCTATTCCTGGGCGTCATCGCTCTTATACGTGACTGTTATATGTAAAATGTATAAGGAAAATTTGTCGGCTGAAACAAATGTGATTAGTTTCTCACGGTCAAATGGAAGGCAGGATGTAAATATGCAGCTGAATATGAAATATATCACGCTGTGACGTCCAATTTAGGCTAAAATTATGAATGTCTATTAGGGCATGTAGTGGTATAGGAGGACTGAGGGATGTCTACGAAGGGTTTGCATTGCAAGTCACTCTAGCCACTGGAACTTGACCTTTGGTCAGGAAAGTGGGATGTTCGGTGGGATGGTAGATCAAGCAAACATATCTTGACAACACATTCTGCGAGCCACTCAGCGATAAATGTCTGAAATCTGGACTGGCAATCCAGATTTCAGAGAGTAACTGCAACTACCACTTCCACTTTGTTCATTGTAACCTTACAAACGACATCTTCTTGATATTTCTCGATCACATGATTAGGTGTAAAGACCGTTCGCATATTACTAACGTCGCCTGTTGAGATAGACTTTCATAACTTGTTTCGAATACAGCGCTGCATGCGAGCCAGGGGCGGAGCTTCCTATACAGTTGGTGGGGCAGCTGCCCCACCAACTTGGTGTTTTGCCCCACCAACTTAAGCTGATTTCTAAGACTTTGTTGCTTTGCAAATTAATCTTTTTCGCATTGAAGGGCTTTGGAGTGTCTGTTTAATGCAACATATTATATCTGTAATGATAGGAATTGATTAAGTGTGGCATTTTATTCAACATCATAATCGGACATTGTGGGTTTGACGACTTTTTGCCCCACCAACTTCCCTGGAAAAGCTCCACCCATGATGCGAGCTAAATAAGACAGGTTTCATTGTGAATTGTTATGCATGCCTTACCACGGAAACATTTTGGGTCTTTTTGCATTGGTCTTTCATTGTTGGACCATTCTTTCTCCATTTCTTCGGAATCATCATGCTCGACATGCCCAAGTTTTCGATCAGTGACAGCAAATTGAAACCAAAAGCAACGAGCAGACTTCTCCGTCTTCGCTCCCGGGACCTCTTTCCCGCCACCCTTCTCCATCTCGCCGCCACCGGCCATTGAGCGGCACGTGTCTGCCCCGTGACAGGTCATGTCGTACGTCACCCGCTGACACTATCTCGGCTCGCGGCGTCCTCCGTCAGTCTGCGACAGTTTCCTTTCCATGCCGTCCCTCATCCGAGTCCCACCCGGCGGCAGTGAGACCCTATCAGCCGGCGGCGAGCACCTGCCTCCAGGGCGGCGCGCCGAAATATGAGATCGCCGCCCCAATATCGGCGAGTGATTGGTGCGACCGACCGCTGCCGACGGCGTGTCTCCGCCGTGAGGAGGTGTGTGACAGCGCCGCGGATGGGAGACGGCGGGACGAGCCGGGGGTCGAACCGGCTGGGGGGCGGTCTATATGGAATATGAACCGTCTGTGTGCGGTAGAGCGCTAGAATCAAGGTTTCCATGAGCTTTGACAGAGGAAGGGCCACCTCTAGGGCAGTACGCTCAGCGCTGATGGAGAAGGGCCTTTTCATAAAGCAGTGCGCGGACAGTGAAGGGCCGTCTCTGGGCCATGCGCTGAGAGACGAAGGGTCGTGTTAGGGGCAGTGCGCTGACCGCCGACAGAGGAAGATACGTCTCTGGGGCAGCACGCTGACGGAGGAAGACCGTGTCTGGTGCGCGGTATGCTAACTGCCGACCTAACGACCGGTCCGACACGGTACCCGGACGCTGGCACCGGCAGGACAGTCCGACGCCAACAACCGGTCACCGTGATATTGGGATAGGCAATGACGTACAACATGATGTCGTCCTAGGGCATCAGAGAATACAACTTCTGTAGAAATATCGGAGCCTTTTGAATTGGGGATTATTTGTTACCAAAATGGTACAATTATCTACCACAAACAAGCTTTTTAGCCTTGTCAGTGCCGTCATTGAAAATGCAGCAGCCTTCACTAGACGATGAGGAAATAAATGCCAAAGGGAGCATTTTAGTTTCAAACCTATAGGGAAGCAGTATGGTACAATGAACTTGCTGAGCAGTGCGATAAAGACACACCATGATAAATGAGTGTGTTAAGTCCACCTCAACATAGATGGACTGCGGCGCAATCTATTGATGATGCTATATGAGTGAGTCAACTTACTGAACAGTGAACAGGCTGACAGCCAGACCGATAGACGACAGACTGATAACTGATAACAAATGACAGACAGACAGACAGACAGACAGACAGACAGACGGGCTGTATGAGTGCTCGAATGGACAATGATGCACTGTGGTATATCTTACTCTTACCACAACCGTTTTAGTCTTGCAGGAATTAACCCTCGCGGGCCCGGGGGGGGGGGCGTTTTTCGCCCCCCCCCCCTGGCGAATATTTGCGATAACTCCCGAACGCTTAGGGATAGGAAGGCGAAACTTGCAGTACCTTTTCTCCCATCAATTTGACATCTTCTGAAGTAAAAAATTTGGACCTAGCCCCCTTGATGACGTCACAAGGTCCATTTTTCTAGACCCCTGCACGGCAAACTTCGGCGTCACAGACGCAAACTTCAAATAGCTGCTAAAAATAGAGTTTTAGAGATAAAGACAAATTACGAGCACGGCTGTGTAGCGTTTGACCTAGAGAAAAATAGAAAAATAGTTTTGGTGACCTGAGGTCAGAGGTCAGGTCAACGACCCCGAAATGTGGTTTTAGTTTTTCGCAAATAACTTCGACAAAAATGGTCCTAGAGCTACGGCAATGGTACCATCGCATTCGCCTTGTCAAGCCGCGTCGAATGATATATATTTTGTTCGGAAAAGGTCAAGTTTCATGTTGACCTCATGTGACCTCGAATGACCTTTGGTTGACCTTGACACATGAA